GCCAACGCTCAACGAAAGCAACAGACGCATGGTGCAAATCCTCCAACTTTTCACCCGGTGGAGTCCGTGGATGAAAGTCGTGATTTAAGAAGAACGGTGTCTGACCCACAGAAGAGTGAAACGCTGCATTGTGGGCAAAATACGATCGAAAATCGGCGTCCAAAATTTGCCCCGCAGCTTTCGGGAAGCGCCTTCGCGGCGCTGAACACTTGAATTGTCGCAGCGCCTTAACGGCGCTGCGGTAGCCGGGGCTCACCCTTCCGATGTTGTGGGGATCTGCAGGTTAGTGGGCCTTTTGAAAGCTTGTATCCTTCGATTTGCGCGGCAGCAATTTCTTGAACGAACAGTGAAGCTGGATTGACTATCATTAGTATGAGGTGTACTTGACATGGAGTACTAGCACACTACAAAGGGACTACAGACGTCGAATCGCCTTTTCAATTCTAGTCGCAAACTAGCATCCCTTGTTTGTTTTGCAGGATCCGCAACAGGGACGTTCTTGCAGAGTGGGCCGTTGCATTCTGCGAGTGGGTGCAAGCACCATTGTGGACGTGGGAGGGGGAGCATGATGACGAGACGCTGGACAGGTCCGATGAGTTGTTGCCTGTGTTTGAGGAGAAGTGCCATGCGCTGGCGCCCTTACAAAAGTCCCATTGGTGCTTCCGGAAGATGCACGAGACGTCCAAATTCACGGATTTCATCCGACGGTTCGGGTCGCCCCGGTGGTTCTGACGGAGCGAGGGGAAAGGCGGCACCACTAGGTGAAAAAGTGGTGGAAGGAGACAAACGGGAAGGACGTCTCAAAGTCGCTGCACAAGTGGTGAGCAATCCATCCTTCTGTGCTTCGCACAGCGGGTCTTTCCAGTCACTTTCTAGTAGCATTGGAAGGGTCAGATGGCCTCACGCACACCTTCAAATGTAGTCAGTTCGTCAGTACTATCTGAAGACCTGCGCGCGCTCAATTGTCTTCTTGTTGATGCTTTCTTTTTGCGTCTGCAGCTGGAATAACGCGCTAGCCATCGAATCAATCGAGGCGCAGCGGGCAGAGCTGGCCGAGTTGCAGAGTTACATGATGTGTACGACTCAGCGATGTTGGAGGCCTTGGACGCTAATGGGGAGGGTGGGGAGAACCGGCTCAACAAGACGGAGCTCTTCACCATTTACTATCCCAATCTACTAGTCCTGCCGGACCGCAAGGACCAGGACCTCATCTTCGGGGGTAAGCCTTCAATATAGGGTACTGTTGCCCGACTGACTTTAGCGGCAACTCCTAGCTAGCAACATTTTAGGGTGACATTTCACAAGGCATCTCCCTCAAAGCTTGAGTTGCTCGTCTATAATAGGTTTTTAAGTGACGATTACCATCCCCCGAAAACGTTGCCCCGTTTTCTAAGGAGCTTATTCCATGTTGCAGATTGGGCAAAGGGTCGACAACTTCGGGACTGGATGCGGCGCATTCCGCTGTTGAAGGATCTTCCGGTCGCGTTGGCGGCTTACTTCATGGACGATGAGGACATGCCGACTGCACGGAGGAGGGGGTTAAACATGATGGAATATCTGTCCGGCAAAATAAGCGAGCGGGTAAGCCACAACAGCTAATAATACCAGCCAACGTGACCGTCTTGCCTTTTCAAACTCTGGAGGCCCTTGCAAAGAAGTTGCAACTTTAGTGTGGATAAGCTTTTGAATCCACGCTTTAGTCTGTCGTCCTAGTCAAGAGTCCTACGCTGCCATGTTGCAGATTGGTGTTGTCAGCTCCTGCTACGTGGTGCCGCACGAAGGAGGGAAGGAGCGGCTACAAAGCGCACGAGCAAGCGCAAACTACCACGGCGCCACAATTCTGAGTGATTTGCAAACACGGGATGGAAACAACCCAGCAGACCCGAATGCGAGCTGGTATGGCACGGCCCACTTGTTTTTTAAGGCCACTGAGTCGAGGCGGGTTTGGGATAATAACAAAGGCAGGCGGGTGACGAAGAATATAGTCCACGATTTAGTGTTCATCCGTTGGTACAATGAGACCGGTTACCTTGATGCAACGAAATGCCCGCAGCTAGAGTGGGAGAACCGGCCGGGAAGTCCTCCCGGCACTCCCCATTGCACTGTAGAGAGCATTAGTTGCATTAAGTCTGTTCAAATGATGGTGCCCAAGCACACGTTTACACACGGCAAAAGCTTAGTGTACAGAAACTTGTACTATAGGTAGAGCAATCTCAAGACGCTAGGATGAACACATTTGTAACATTGTAGTGTGGCAGACTTTCATTGAGTAGACTTGGAATGGATCGCCAGTGCTCACAAATGATGAAGCATTCAACAAAATGTCCCACCCAATTTGCAGATTACCTTGCGCGCGCTGCGTCGTGCAGCTGGCGCGAGCATTCAATATTGGCTCTTTGATTGCATTTTATTGAATCCATGCGCCGGTGCAGCTTTATGGTTTAGAGAGAATACATAGCACCTTGATGCTAGTTCAAGCTCTTTATACAGCCGACCAAGTACGGAAATGTACAATGCAATCACTAGCATCAATTTACCGGTATGACAACAGTTGGCAGAGACCCAAGACTTCCCGCGCATCTATTCAAAACAAGCTGCCGTGAGAACCAACTATTGAAACCGTGCGCCAATGTCTAGAATTTCCCCCGCTTTGCTTTCACCTGCTCAATCATAGCCTCGTGCTCTGCTATCAATCCCGCATCCTGTCTAAACTCCGCCCTCGCTCTCTTGAAAGCTTGCATCTCGCTCTCGTCTCCCGTTCCTGCCGCTCCGCTTTCTCCGCCGCCCGTTAGTCCTTCGCCTTCCCACTCGGGTCCTCTAAGCTTCACTACCATACTCATCAGCTGTTGGGAGCTTGCATAGCCGGTTTTGTCGACCGGCAAGCCCTCGCTGACATACATCGCCTCGACCATCATGTTTCGCCCCGGCTCATCAAAGGCTTCTGGCAATGCCCGCCTGACGAGATTCTCAGAAAAGAGAACCTCGTGATCCGATGTAGGGAACGGGATAGTCGTAGGAAAGAAGCGGGAAAGAACGCTAAGAAGCCAGAGGTTGTGCTTTGCCTTGAACTTTTCAGCGATCTTGGCGTCATATCTGATCGCCATCACGACCGCCTCTCCCGGGATCCAGAAGTCCTCCCAGAACCCACGACCCATATTGCCAAGACCCTTAACCGGCGCCTTACCCGTCGTCTTCCTGCCCGGCTTCTCATAGAACGAGCTTCCTCCGATCTCTTCTTCCTCCTTCTCCAAGTCCACCGACCCTAAGTCCTCGCTCTCCGAACCCCCCTCCTCGGACTCGCTCTCCTCGATCTCGCTTTCCCCTTCCAAGTCCGTCTCCGTTTCCCCCGAATCGACGTCTGCATTCTCTTGATTGGCCGTGGCAGAACGCGAACCCCCTGCGCCGGCCGCCGCCGCTTCCGAATCGAAAGCTCGGGCGCCGCTTCAATCACATTTGCCAAATTTTTCAGGAATTCTCGCCGAAGCGCCACGTGGTCTCGCCCTACAGCTTGATACTGCCAAACCGCCCGCCTCATCGCCCCTTGAATGCCCAACCCCTAAGAGACGGCGGAGCGCACGACAATCTTTGCAAAGGCCTCGGGGGTGCGGTCTGCGGCACAGAGGTCACCAAGCCCAACCCTAAGAGTGGCGGCCGATGATCCTCACGCACGAGCGGCCAATGCTCGCGCCCGGGTCCCAACTCCTTCTTGCGGTTCGGCCCCCGGCACTACATACCCGATTGCCCGGATCAAGCGCTCAGGACTTTGAGACACCCTCGCCTTCCACTTCCTTCGCCACCTCAAACTCCGACTCCTCGTCTCTATCTCCCAGCGGCCGCCATCCCAAGTCCTGTGCCCCGACGTCGCCTTCTCGCTCTTCGTGTGGCGTCCCAACCGCACCTTCCCTTTCTTTTCTATTTGCCGAATCACGCAACATCTGGTACAGCTGGAACGGGTGGGCATTGGTCCCCGTAGCGTACTTTAGCTGCGTTTCCGAGTAGTACGCCCCGGACAACCCTCTAACGACAAACACGGGGAGCGCCCTCACCATGTCCGCCATTGCCTCCCCCTCCCTGCGCAGCTGATCAGCCGTACTCAATCCCTCACTCGCCCAAGCTTCCCGCTGCTCTTTCCACGTCTGCATCTGGATGCTAGTCTCGGCCCACGTTCCTCTCTCCAACCATTCATTGAAGACGTACACGGTCGCGTCTTCAATGGAGACCGTTCTTCCCTCCAGCCCCTGGTACTTCGACCCACTGACCGGAGGCTGGAGAACACCATGCCCACGGGCCTTCTGAGCGCCGAACAGGTCGTTGATGAGTTTGCACCGTGAGTACCACTTCTCCTTGGCCGGACCTTCCTCTGAACTTGCATTGCAGGAACCGGCGCACGCATTCAATTTTGATTGATCATTTGCGGAAATTTGAATCTGTGCGCGGCGGCCGCGGCTAGAGCATTACGCGGCCGCGGCTCGTCTATTGAGCCGCATCCGCACAACAGGCCCCAACACTCGCGCACAAATTCAAACCGCGGCAGGAAAGACCAAATCTTTAAAACTGTGCGCAAACCTTCCGCGGGCGGCCGACGCGCGCCTGCTTGATGGCGCGCGCACGCACGCGCTGCATTTGCACAGTTCGGCGCACAGATTCACAGAGTGCTGCCAGAGAGTCCCACTGTGAAATCTTGCGCTACTAAGCATTGTCTATTTAACACGTACATGTGAAGCGTACCTGGTTCTGGAATGGAGGCAGTCCTCGAAAGCTCCTCGACGAAGGACGCCAACACGGTGCCCAACGGCAATTCTTCCGTCCGCTGTGACTTCCTTCTCCGAAAAGACCCTCCAATCATGCATGAGCCGGGCGCACACCGGCTTGCCCTCCAAGGCCGCGGCATTCGCAGCTAGCGTAGCTGAGATATCTAATTGAACGTCGAAAAACGATTCTGGTGGACTGGGCCGCTCTGCAAAGATTAGCGGGCAACATATAAAACACTTGAAATATAACTGTGACTCGCTTTATAATTTTAAGCAGTGTACAAGTAGATTCATGTTTAGCAGAGGTCGCCTAGTAAACATGATGCAAGCGAACATGACACTTTGCTCATCACAAGAATTCACTGCCATGTTTGTACAACCCCAGGAGTGTATGGTATATACAAAACAAATGGTTGGTTCTCTAATGGCAATTGTCAGGAAGCACCGGCTACAATCTTCATGTTCTCAATTCCAGACAAAAACGACCCTAGGTAGCCATTTCTAAAACAGAAAAAAAGCTTGGCAAGTTATTAAAAGCTATCCTACCCGCTCCACTTGCACCCTCTATCCTACTGGTCTTGTTGGGCAAGTAGCTCCTCCTGCCCCTCAGCCACCAGGAGCGCCGCGTCGAGCTCCACTTCCTCTCCCCCCCCCCCCTCAGCGTGCTGCTCCTTGCGCACCGGCTCCCGGTTCTCAGCCAGCTCCCGGGCCCTCTCCGCTGCTTCAAGCTTCTCATGCGCCCGGGCGTCTTTCAACGCCTCCTTCCTTGCCTTCTCCTCCAATGCCGCCTCGAGCACCCTCACCCTTTCCGCTGCAGCTGCCGTCTCGTCCTCCTCCGCCTCCTCCTCCTCCTCACCCCGGGCCTCCCGCTCCACCCTATCAAATTCCCTAACGCGCCTGTCGTATTCCGCCCTGCGCCGCGCTTCACTACCGGTGCGTTTTGCCTTGGGCGGACGAACCCAGTGTTCGGGATCCACTCCCTCAAGCGAGGGTCCCACTCCGCACGGCCGGCAGTCTCTTCTTCCGCCGGCGAGTACTTCACCGCAGACTTTAGCACCTCCGTCTTGTCCCCGGGAGTATCTCCCCGAATGCGCCGTGCAAGCTTGAATTCCTAAGTTGGGTTGCAACGTGACCGGCTTGGCGTGCACAGCTGCAAAGTTGGCGTCTTCGAGGACGTTGGATGAGTAGTCCTCTGTAGCAGTTTGAAGCGCGGTGACTGTGTCAATGGTCCACCTGCAATAGAAGCAGCGCACAGATTCATTGGCGCCTTGCTTTTGCGGTGAAATGTGAAACCATGCGCGGATTGCACATGCCCCAGATGAAAGGCGCGCACGGATTCAAAAGTGTTGCATTCAAGCTAAATTTTTGAAATCTCGCGCCGGATGGGAAGACAACACTACAAGGGAATTGTGCAGCCCAAAGGCAAACTAGAAGTGCCCTCACGACGCCACAGTTAAGAATATTAAGAAGAGTAGGTAGGAAATGATAACGAGTCGCCCGCTCTAAGAATATCAAGTTTGAAGATGGTAAGACGAGCGGCGCGCAACCGTTCAAATATCGAGCATCAGGACGTCTGAATTGAAAGCATGCGCAGTCTCAAGCAGAACAGATATTTGAGGGTAGATGCAGTGAACTCCCTTAAAAAATAAAGGTATTGAGAAGAATAGAGCAAAACCAAAGGTGCCCATCAGCGGTTTTCAACAAGCTTGGTAGTAAAAAGGCATTATGAAGCAAGTGGGCCGCCCAATAGAAGGATATTACTTGATACAAAAGGGCGCATAAAACGATTGAAATAACAGTTTAGAGCCATTTCACAAACGGCATTGCGTCAAAATGCACGAAATAAAAGCTGCTGCATTACAAAGAGGGCTACACAAATCACATTGTCTTCAAACCCGAGCTTACAATTCCAAGCCTGCGCTAGGAGGTCACATTGAGGCACTCACCGAATGTCGTCCCGCCCTGAGACCTTGCTGGTGATTTCCCTAATCACACGGTTGAAAGGCAAGCGGCGAATGAGAAGGCTGCCGTATCTCTGGAACTTTCTGATTTCCTTGAGGGACCGGGGGAGGCGCGCCTTGTAGCGCTTCTTGGCGGGCGGCTCCGAAGTGGGGGTAGGCGGGTTTTTCACAGCCACGTCCCGGCCTCTCTTCTCACCCGACACGTGTTGCTTGCCCTTGTCTGCAGTCGCCGCCTTCCGCGTCATTCCTCAAGCCTTTTGCGCTTTTGCTTCAGCTTTTCTAGGTGTCTGTTCAAATTGGGAGGCTTTTTCATGGGCCCTTTGCCCCCGCTGCCCTGCGCCGGCTCCGTCGCATTAGTTTCCTGGACTTGGTTAGAGGGCCCTGCTTCTCTTGGCCTGACGAATTTTTGCCGCATTTCGAGTGTTGGCCGACGGGGACTTGAAGATCATTAGAAGCAAGGTCAAGCGCCCTAATGAGTTAAGCGCCCTTTGCCGACGAGCCTATCTTGGAAATGATGCTGATTGGATCATGTTTCCCGCTAGATCCAGAAACCCTAGGTATCGTGACCCGCTGAAACCCTAAATGGGGTATATCCAACACGTGCGCGCGGGCATTCACACATGCAGAAGTATTGCAGGGTTTGTGAATCTCCGCGCCCCGCGGCATGAGCCGCGGCTCCTGCGCGGCGCCGCGATCGGCGGTACGCACACGGTCGGCACCATGCGGCACGCAGGCATGAACAACCAGACATGTACCCGGCACACTGGGCGGCATCACAGTACTCTGATGCACGGCAACACAGCTGCCGGTCACAATGCGGACCGGCACACATACCGCCGCGCACATACCTCAAGTGCGCCGCGCGTTAGAGAATACCGCCGCACGGCGATCGACTTTGCCCCTCGAACCGGCACCAACATGTGCGGCAGCTGCGCGGCACGCCCCGGTCGAGCGTGTTTACCAGCGGCACACCATCCTAGATATGCGCGGCGATACCCGATTTTTCTGATGCAGCAAGCTCATGCTACGGCTGCACAGGCACAACAGCAAGCTCAGGCTGCTGCCGTTGCAGCTGCTGCAGAGCAGGTAAAGGCCTCGCCTCCTTCCAAGTGGGAGAATAAGGCGAGCAACCCGCCCATTCTGGAGTGGTTCGATCAGATCGAAGAGTATCTTCGGAATACGCCTAACGCTAAGTACCTATTTGCGTTTGGCGTCTTCATATCTGAATGGGAAGCCAAGGTCGTATTGGTTCTTCTCAGTATGTTGTGTATCAGCGTGCGAACCCAGGGTTGTATCCTCGGAATGCTCGTCAGTTTTTCAGGGACACCATGACTCGTGGGTATGGTCTGAGGACTCCCATTCAGTCTTATTGGGACACCTGGAATAATCTCAAGCAGGGATCCACAAGTGTGGATGAGTACAACGTTGCTTTCGAGCAAGCTGCTACTAACCTTGCCGCTGAGATTACAGACGAGCAGATCAGGATCGAGAAGTATCGGTCTGGTCTCCATGTGGATCTGAAGAAATTGTGCAGAACGTCTCGCAACGGTACTCGTTGGAATGCTCTGCGTGATCCTATGAAGTACGCTACTTCGCAGTGGCCAATGATCGAGGAACGCTTGGAGCGTAAGCCTGCCCAGTCCACCAAGTCGGTGGCTGGCAAATGTAAGGCGTCCGGAAGTGGCTCCGGGAGGACGTCGAAGGCGGGGCTGTCTGCTGCCCTTACGGACGAGCAGTACGCTTATAACATGGCGAACCGCCTGTGCCACAACTGCGGGAAGCCTGACCATCATGGCATGTTGCAGCAGACTCTACTGAGGAACCTCAAAATAGCAGCAATAATGGGAAGGAACAGAAGAAGGGTAGGAAGGATTTTCAGAAACGCTAGGCAGTGCAGGACTGTTGTCTAGTGTTGATAACTCTGTGTTAGATCTGTCAGAACAAGACTTCCTGACAATATCAAACATTACTGGTCGTATCTTTGATATGGGAGTTCGTCGTTCTGAAGATTCTATTTCCACATAT